CTTCTTCCTTCTAGAGATGTTTCATGAGAGGGAACCTCCTCTCATGTTGACGTTTCCCACTTTTCTCTGCTATAGTGAGGGCCCCTGAAAATAGGATCTATGCCTTTCTTACTCTCCTCTGAATCGTAAAGGTCTTCAGCAGCACATCACTTGTGATAGGCGCCCACTTGATAGTTGTTGCGGTTAACAGGAGCCTGGCAGAGTTGAAGAGGAGGTTCTTTGGCCAAATTACCAAGTAATGATTTGGTATTTACCTACTGTACTCCCTCTCGGGACTCCTACCATAATCAGGCCTTATAGTACGCAGTCCTTAAGTCTAAGGCATAGTCGGACTCTTGGCGTGTGTTAGGTAGTAAAATAGAAAGAGACTGTTTGGTGTTGGGTTTATTGATGTATGATTTACATTCTGTAAAATTTACCCTCCTAAGAAAGTATGCGGTTGGGCTTTTCACAGATATACACAATGGTGTAAATGGTGTAACTTTAACCACTTTCCCAATATTGAGTCATACATGCTCCTTTGTGGACTTGTCTCTCTTCACCTATAACCTTTGACAACCAGTGGCCTGTTTCCAGTCTTTCTCGTTTCTGTTTTTTCACAGTGCTTAGTACAACTCAGATATTATATAGTTGTCTTCTGTGTCTGCTTTATTTGTCTGAGCGTACAGCTGTTGAGATTTGTGTGTGTTGTTGCGTGTGTCAATGCTGGCTACATTTTTATTGTTCAGTAATACTTCATTTTTGTTTATTCACTTGTTGATGGACATTTGGTTGTTTTCAACCGGCTTTTCTGTATAAGGGCTCTATGCGTATTTGCATATGTCTTTGTGTGGGCTTCTGCTCTCACTTCTTTTGGGTAAAATGGAGTGAGACGATCAGATCATTTTATAACTGAATGTGTAACCTTATAAGAACCTATCACATTTTTCCACAGTGGCTCTTGTAACTTATGTTCCTGAAGTCAGTGTATTGAGTACTCCACACACTTGCTCGTGCTTTTAAGTTTAGGTTTGGTGTGTGTAATGATATCACATTGTGTTTTTAATTTGCATTTCCCTATAAGTACTAGTGTAAGCATCTTTGCATATTTAGGATGGTTATGTTTTAGCAGACTTCCGTCTTCTGTAGACTGGAAAAACTTCCAAATGCCAGTGGCAGTGTTTGAAGTAAAAATTGCTAAACAAATTGGTGGAAGATTAGAGCAGTCACTTCATCCAGATTCATCTTGCACAAATCTAGGTTGGGATGTGGAAATTGCCAGATTGATAATGCTGAGAATCGGAGAGATGGCTCCAAGGACTTGAACATGAAGCTTAGCAGAGCGCCTGTTCCATGACCCTAGTGGTTTTGGGAAGTCTATGTGGTCCTTGGCTAAACCTGATGTCTATGCAAAGTAGACTGAGATTCACTTAAGCTTCCCAGGATGCCTGAGGAGTCACCAGGGAAGCTTCGAAGTCCTTCGTGACTCTCTTGAGCTTGCTGTAGAAGCAACTGAACGCAGGACTCCTTCCCTGGGGACCAGTTGCCTGAATCAGTTAATCAAGCTTGAGAAATCAGTTACCACAGGCCCAAGAATGCCATCAACCTTGAATTCTGAGACCCTGTTTTTCATGGTCATCTTTTAAAAATGTAATTGAGGCCATATCCCCTCAGTGCTCCCAACAAGCCGGTACTGATTTATTTGCTTAAGGGCAATTCAGAGATGGAGGGTAAGGAATATTGCTGTCCTAACTCAGAAGGGGACAGACTTTTCAGGGAAAGTACTGCAAAAAATCTGCTCATTCAGACATTGGTGGAGAGAGGTGACCAGGAAGGATTCCTGAGCTAGTAGCAACTCAGAATTGAGCTAGTAGAGGCCCAGAATTGTGGAGGAATTAGGCAGGCTCACAGTTCTGGAGAAAGCGTTGTTCTGGGCAAAGGAACAGGGCAGTGTAGTCCTAGGCATAGGAGAGCATTAGTGCAACATGTCCCTAGCATGTGAGTCCTCCAGGTCTGGCCAAGGGAGGAAGTGATAGTTGCTGGAGGCCCACCAGGGAATTTGAGTAAATCTTGGTGAGAACTCCATCCAGGGTGGTGGGAAGCTGGTGAAGGGTAGGCAAGTACCGTATGTAGATATTTGGTTTGAGTCAAATAGTTCTGGTGCTCCTGTGTCGAAGGGAGGAGAATAGGGGTGAGCCTGGAGCCAAGGAGGCCATTTTGAAATTGCTACTCCAGTCACGTAGGATCAAGATGAGATTGGGCTCTTGATTGACGAAGATTCTGAAGTGGGATTGCTTCCAGCCAGTGCCTGGAAATTCATGTAGGGACAGGAGCAAGTGTACCATACTTCGAAACATTGAGAAATCTAGTGCACAGGACTACTCTCCCCACACCCCCATGCCGTTTGAGGTTTGTTTGTTCACTTCTTTGGAAAACTGATGTGGAAATGTCCCATTGTCTTTTGATTCCTGGGTAGAAGGACTCAGGCATTTCCCCTCACGTGGGTAAAGTTGCCCTCAGCATGGATCTCTGTGTTCAGAGAGTGAGGTATGGGTGAGAATTGTGCAGGTGTCCAGGAGGGCTGGGCTGTAATGTTTGCATTTTTATAGCCACAGGAGAATTTTTCCTCTAGTCTCAGGACATCCGTGCTGTGTCCCTGAGGAACCTGGAGTCCAAAACTGGTTTCGGAGATTCAGAAACTCATCAGCTTCTAGGAAAGTGTCCTCCAAGAAAACCCAGTTTTTCTTTCTTATCCCAAGGGCACTCTGCAGGGCTGTGTTCTCTTCTCTCATCTCATGAGCGCTGTGTGGGGCTCTGTCTTTATTTCCCCTGAACATCTCTGCTCAGGAGTCAGGATACAGATTCGACCCCAGAAAGCAATCCTAAGCTATTCAGAGTTTGTCCTTCCTACTTTACTCACTCCACCCCTCACTTTCCAGAAACAAGAAAGAGCAGAATGTCTTCTTTAGATAAGCAGCCATTTCTCTGTTGGACGATACCGGCAACTGCACAGCTGAGAGTGTGGGTGGGAGATGGGGGCCTGGATTTCTCTGTCGTATGCATTATGCTGTGGACTGTATTTCGAATTTATTTCTTTCACTTCATTTAATACTGTAGAATACCATACATGGTAGATGTCACTGCCCCCTGTTTGAATGAGAAACTTGCTGCTCAGAGACCATAAATCTTGTCTTGCGATCACAGTTGGATATCTGGGTGCTAGTACCTACCAGGGTTCACTCTAATATTTAATTTCCCTTTTGTTACAGTGCATTTATTATATTCCAGCCTTTCCTCCATTTTACTTTACAATGGGCTCTGAGAAAATTTCTGTACCCTATAAATCAGCTAAGTGATTCCTGGAGAGTGGCTTTAACTGGAAAGGAATCCAGTTAATAATTCTTTAATATTTTAAGTGCCACTTAAAAACATTTTGGTCACCTCCCTGTCAGTGCTCTGAGTCCAGTTGGCATCTCTCAACAGGGAACTGCAAGCCAAATGGTACTGGCTAGGTCTTCCTCTTGCTATTGGTCTAAGTCATCTTATTGCTGTAAGGAACTGTGTGTAGTCTGTGCCCTTTTTGGGTTTGCCGAGCAACAATAAGGAAGAAGGCTTTAGGATTTAACTATCATAGAATTTCCGATTTATTATATCATTACTAAATGAGCTAGAATTAGTCGTTATAGGGCATGCATTTTTCTGGACATGTTGATTTCTGGACATTTTGTTTTCTTCTTCTTTCCTAGAAATTTTTAATCTTAGTTGTCTTTTATCAGGTAACAAAGGGTATCCCAGGGACCTAAAATCCTATTAGAAACCTCCCATCATCGAGATCATGGGTTTTGAGTGTAGGTTTTGGTTTTGTCTCGTAGCATTTCACCCTGATATTCCACCTTATCTACAATAGAAGGCTACTAGATGCCACAGTCACTAGGAGTCATTTCATAGCAGTGGTTTCTGCTGAGGGTTTGCGACTAGCAACGATTGCCTGGTCCCTGCTTTAATAACCTGTGTGTCCCTCTTCCTCCTGATACTTTTCAGTTTCCCCCTGTTCCTTAGCTTGCTTTAGCTGAAGTCTTTGGTAGTTTTCCAGCATTGGATAAATACAGCTGGATAGTGGGTAAAAAGGACAGTGGGTAAGGAGGACACACAGACTGTTGTATGACCTCTTCAAGAAAATCTCTAGGATGGTGAACTGTCTCCCAGGAAGACCTTTGCAAGATCCGTGTAGGAGAGAAGCAGCCATGTATTCAGGTGTAGGTAGAGCAAGTCCAGACATGTGCTCCATATGTCCCAACTGTAGGAGCCTGCCGTGTTCACAGATGCCCTGCTGGGATCAGGCCTTGGCAGGCTCACTTCTCTGTGGGATACTGTTCTCTTTCTACAGAGACACAACACAAGCTTTGTCCATATCACGTGGGAGCCAGGTGTCCGTGGCATTGCTTCGGTGCTTACTCATAGTCGTCTAAGACAATCCTCAGCTTGCCACCTGGGGAAACTGCATGGCTAATGATGCCATTTATCGCTTGAAGGGCCCAGCTCTGTGGCCAGATGAAAACGCTGTAGCGAATGTTAGGGGATATCACTAAGTCACTCCAGGGATAAGGGAGAATTTATAAATGCTGCTGCTGGTTCCTGGTAGGATACATATATTCATAGGGAAGGCAGGCAGGCCTCTGGGACTCTAGGATGCCGTGTCTGACCTCTGTTTTGGCCAGGGAAAGTTACATTCTCAAATCCATTGTCATAGGCTTATTTTTCATTCTTAAATGATCACCTCTGTGGTGCTCACGTGATGAGGGCCATTGATTGTATCGTCTTGCCAGCCTATAGCCAGCGAGTTTCCCGGAAGCCGTCTCTGCTAGAGATTCTGGGGGTTGGCAGTCCAGGACTCATGACCTTTTGACAAGCCACCAGGGTGTTAGAGGTGTCTGGTGAGAGGGCTGGAGCCACAACTCTCTTGGACATAGGGCTTCGATGCAGTGATTGACAGCTCTCTCTCTTCTTGTTTTATCTTTCAGTTAATGACCAGCCACGGAGTCACAGCTCTGTGCTCTGGCTGCTTCCTCCAGGGCTCTCAAGCCACACACGCAGGTCGCTGTGGGTGCTGGCAGAGGTAACATGGCTTGTTGGACTCAGTTAAGGCTGCTGCTGTGGAAGAATCTGACGTTTCGAAGAAGACAAACAGTAAGCACAAGTTTCTCTGTGGGGTTCCTGCTTGCTGTCTCAGTGGGGCTGGGCTGGGGACCGGAGAGGGAGGGTTTCACCTGGTGGTTATTGAATGAGTCTGGCACTTGTGGACACAGGGCTGTGTGGCTCTGATGTGATCCCATGGAGGGAAGGTGATCAGTCAGGCAGAAATAATAGCTTGGGTTTGTGCTAGTTTCTGGCATGGGTTCTGACCTCTGCAACCTGACAGCCCCTGATCACCCCGGTATCTCCTTTCACTGAATTTCTGGTAGGTACTTGGAGCCACCCACAAGCACTCTCTGTAGCCCTCAGTGTTTCTGTAAAGTGAAATACTAAGCAGGTCTTAGAGATGGCAATCTCAGCATTAAGCCTTCCTCAGCTTTGAGCGAAGCCTGGAAGATTATAGTAACTGAGGCTTGTCATTTCCCTGGAGGTATCTAAGTCACCCACTTCCTATGCAGGCCAGTCTTTCTTTGAGTACTCCCACAGGCCCACGGTTACTTCGGAGGTGATTGTTGTTTTTCTGTGGAAGACTGTGACAGCTCTAGGGCAAGGTGAGCTCCCTGAGGCTTAGGTCAGCCTTCCATGTGGTGCCGTTATCTCTGATCATTCTGAGTCTCCTCATCCTGCCCTTTTGCCTTAGCTACATGTCTCTGGAGCTTGCTTCTAAACTTGTTTCCTGTCCTGCACTTTTTCTTGGATCACAAACCTGCATCTCCGCTTGGCTATCTTAATGAAGATACACACCTGTCTGTAACCAGACTAAGCTTCTGAAAGTCAAAGACCTTTAGTGAACCCTGAAGAGAGTTTAATTTAGTGTTTCTCTAAGTAGAATAGTACTCGGAGATCTTCTATAAGAGAACAAACATACTGAGGTACTCTTTCGTTCACTGACGTTTTTATTATAAAATGACTTAAGTATGTAAGTAAAAATAGATTTAAACCCTGATGATAAAACCATAGGCCCCATACAGACTTACAAATCAAAGCAAGTAAAACTGAAGAAAACCACTGCAGTTCAAATTACCACCTTACATGTAGTAAGAAAACTGACTTTGTTTAGCTGAAATCCAGATTATAAGTTGCCACATGAAATATGGTGGTAGATGATACAATGCTGGCCGTTTTGAATTTGGCCAGTCTATATTATTCTGAGCTAATGATTTAGTTCTTCAACCGTGTTTCTCCCTGGACAACATTCATTAATGCCATTTGGTTTTCTTTTGTTCAATCCAATCAGTAGGCTGTCACAATGATACAGTTGCATACATTGATATAAATCTGAACTTTGACAGCTTGTGGCACAATTTATGCTAAAATAAGTAAATTCACATAGTTATACCAGAATTTGTTCAGATGATCATTGAAGTGGAACACAGAAAGTTTAAAATCTTCATGGAGAACCCAGGTATAATCCTTTGAATGTTCATGTGAAAACACACACACACATACACACACACACACACACACACGGGGGGGGGGGTCGGACAGACAGACAGATAGGGAGAGAGAGACAGATAGACAGACAGACAGGGAGGGAGGGACAGAGAGAAATAGAGAAAGATTGATTCCCGTTTTACAAGTGTTTTTGATTAGCTTTTAATGTTACGAATGAGAAACTTGCATTCTTGAATTCAAGGTCTTTAGTGAGAGAGAGCAGTGACTAGAATCTATGTGTTCATTGTCTTTAGCAATAATGACAATATAATACACATTGCCATGTTATGATAAAAGATGATAATTAGAATGCGCTTCTATAAGCTAGGCACATAATGTGTTATTTATATATTTGTTTTTATAATTGCTGTAGGTTAACCTCAGGGCCTTGCACATGCTCGACCAGAGCTTTACCACTGAACCAAACAGCCAGCAAAGTAGGTTGTTGTACTAGTTGTTCTTAAACCCCATGAGGTAGTTTCTCCTTATGGTTCAGATAACAAATTTGATGTACAGAGTGGTTAAGGAGTTTTCCAGAGGTCTGCACTGCTAGCGTTTGACTGCTGATAGTTTGACACCAGCAGTAGTATGTTAGACTATGTTAAACAAATAACTACTGTGTTAGACTACTGTTTAGTTATTGGTCTTTTTGAGACCAGGTTTCAGGTATCCTGGCTGACCTGGAACTCACGAAATAGCTAAGGCTGCCTTTGAACTCCTGATCCTTCTGGCTTCCCCTTCCTAGTGCTAGGATTACAGGTGTGTACCACCATACTCAGCCTTACATCACTTTTAATGGTATAATTTAAAAAAAAATTCTCTATCGAAAAACCTTGACATTTCTGACTTTCATCTTACCTACCTCTGTACCTCACAATTGTTCCTAGGCTCTGTCATTCTTCAGTCTGTTAAATTTTCTTCCATATGTCAGTTTCCTACCTGGTGGGAAAGTCTCTGCTTTGGTGGGTGCGTTCATGAGTCACAGAAAGAAATATCACTTTAGCAGTGAAAAGTGGGTCTCGAGGGAGCCTGCTCCAAACATCAGGTGTTACACATGGGGAAACTGAGGCACAAAGGGTAGACGAGATCAGTCAAGAAGAAGCTGATCTGGGGCTAGAGGCTGAGCCCTCCTCATTCCAGCTCTCAATGTCTGTTCCCTTTCCCAATCTTTTGCAGCCACATAGTATCGCCAAACTTGAGGGAAGAGGAACTGCCAGGGTATGAGTTCCTGGGCCCAGGCAAGGAGGAGTCAGGAGCACATTGTCCTGGAACATGGGGTCATCTCCTCTGAGCCAGTCTTCACTGGATTTGCTCTTGCTGCATCTTGCTCAGTGCTGCATTTGGATTATGCTTATGAGTTTAAAATTATTAGGATTACAGAGGTAGACAGATTTAGTCAAATGGAATTTACTGAAGAGTTCTTTTTGGAGTGAGAAGTAGCGACACCATCCTTGGACACAGGTGACCTTTGTAGGATACATCACGACTTACCAGCTTGTCTGAGTCATCTCCCTTCCTGATTGCTAACGTAAATCCATTTTGAGAAATCAGAAAGAAGTGGAGTTGATTTCCAGTCACAGATACTTCATGAGCAGTACAGGTGCTCCAAGACCTGACCTGCCTCTTGTTTAGTTGTTGGAGCTGAGGCTCTGACAGACACAGACTCACTTCTGAAGTAACGTCAGAACCTATCTACTGACATCCTTATAGGCTGGGCCTCTAAAAATTGGCTTTGCTTTATCTTCAGCAACTGCTGAGAAGGTGTCACTACTGTCTAATCTATCTGGTTATGTGTTTTTAGGGATGGAAACTTGTGTGAGCCTTTGGTGGCACTTTCTTAACTCACAGAGTAAGCCCATTATGAAGGGGAAAAAGTTTGAAGCCCCTTGATAGCCATAGTGCTTGGACATTCATTGCATGATCCCCTGGTCCTGAGTGCATCTGTACCCATGGTTCAGAGCCTAGGACAGAACCTGGTACTTATGACATGTATAATAAGAACTTACCTGATGAGTGGTGACTGTGTTGCTGGTCTGTTATTTGAAGGTCTTGGAACATCTAGGAGAACTAGAAAGAATATGCAAAAACTTGGAGCTGAGGAACGCCAGCTAAAGGCGACAGTGCTCTTGTGTCCTTGTTTGCAGATGACTGTTATGGACCCTCTCTGTTCTTTCATTGTGCAGACTCATGGGGTCCATCAATCAGAGTTAGTTTTCCAGTGTTTCTCTTGGGCAAAGAATACATTGAATTGAGTTGCAAAAGGGTCCAAAGCTCAGTTTGGGTCCAAAGTACCAGCCAGCTTGTGTGTGGGCAGCAGTTATTCTATGCAAACAGTGTTTGGGACAGGAAGGGGGGTGGACTTCAGGATATCAAGATCTTCCTCTGGCTTTGGGCTTGATCCAGAGGCCAAGGTCTCCATGAAACAGAAGGGACAGAGTAAGGTGACCAAATGGACTTTTTCATCTTTGCCTTTAAAAGAAACAACACATTCTAATTCTTTAGTAAATTGAAGGACTACTGTTAGGACAGTCTGGAATGAACGTGAAAACAATTAGGACTCCTGCTTCCTCAATAGTTAGAGACAGTCACAGTGTGTGGGCACTTTACTTCCCTTTCCTGTTCCTAATTCCAGGGACATTTCTTCCTGTCCCTTAGTCCCAGCTCAGTAATCTCGGTCATAGTTCTCATCCCAGCCTGGCCAGCCCTGTGCCTCAGTGTACTCCAGAGCTTTGCTTTCCCCTTCTAGAGATGAAGAAAGCTAGAACAAGCCCGTTTGTTGTTTCACTTAGATAAATGTTTGCTGAGCATCCATTACTTGTGGGAGATTGTGCTGGTTATATAGTGATACACCAGATAGGCTCTGTTTCTGTCCTCAATGGAACATAGAGTTTATTGAGGGAAGAGGATATAAAATGATATCAACACACAAGTAAAAATATCATTACAACATCTGGAAGTGATTGGAGTAAAGCAGTGAACTGTGGTAGTCAGGCACGAGTAGGTACTTCATGGCATTCAAGCCTAGAGCCCCAGAATGGTAGCAGTGGTGTTAGCATGCAAAGGTCAGGGGCTCAGACCTCAGAGAAGCCAGGGGCACTGGGTCGCTGAATGAAGAGTGGCTGGCAATGAGTTGGAGGGATCGATCCTCCAGTTAAGGACGAACAGTTGAGTTTAATTTTATATCTGAAAGGAGCCCTTTGGGTGGGCACAGCATGGTTAATACAGCTCATCCTCTGGGTCTTGATACTGAGGTAACTGGAGTGGTGGGAATGCCAGGAAGCATTTGTGATTCTGTACACACACACACACACACACACACACACACACACCAACTGATGTACTGTGCTCCTTAGTATGACTTGGCTTGTGCGTTCTCATATTTGTAAATAATCTTTATAGTGATGAGTTTTGATGTGAGGCTGCACTTGAGTGCTTTAAAAGTAATTTTACATCTACTACTGTGCCTTCATTTTCACAATAATTCGGTGAAATCTGTTTCACAGATGAAGAACACATCATTGGTAAGTTAGTAAGAAAGGTGTGGGATCTTCTGGTTGTCA